GAAACCAGGTTTCTATACCCGTGGTGGGCAGAGCACAGATAGCCCATTATGTAGCTTTGTGCTTAACTTCAAACAAACAAAACCTTTCTATTCTCTGTTTTGTACAAATATATATATATGTATAAGCCTGATATGTAGCTATGAATTAATGAGATCAGATCTGGAGAGATGAAAGAAATAAGTCTTGACAAAATGTGCAGAATTGTAAATTAATGTGTTAAAATGTTTTTTGTTGTTGTATTCTGGTCGACACAGACGTATACAGTACTTGTTATAGTTTCTACTTTATCCACTGTGACGCAGAACGTGTTGTTACAGACAATCGTCATTCTCTTTATCATAATTCCTACTATGACCTTGCAAACATTAAAGTATTTTGCATATTTCGTTTTTTTTTTGTTGTTGTTTTTTAATTGTACTGTCATTCATATATCGAACCAATAATTATAAACTTCAGATACGGAGCCATGAAGCCACTGATTTGTTTGAGACATAAGAGCGGAACATATAGATAATTCCTAACTTCGAACGGCCAGTCGCAGTTCATTACTTACGGTTAATGCTTCTGATTTCTGTGATTACAGAACAAACGGGAGAGCACAAAAATAAAGACTGACGTGTGAAGATTTGTTTGCTCATATCTACACAAAGAGCTACTTGCGCTGTGCTCATCGTGGGTATCGAACTTCGATTATGAGTGAAATCAATCATTTTCTGGCTAAAGGGATCGATAAATATATTTTAATGAAGAAGTTTGGCTTGGCCAAACTTACTTGTTGTAACAAATAAAAATAAATGAATCCTATAAGATAGCGATCTATTGTGTGAAATTATACCTTACATTTAAAAAACTGTGTTTATTTTGTTGTTGTTGTTTTCATCCTCCTTGCTATCTCATCCAAATATGATTATACGGCGGCACACTTCAAATGATGTTGTCTAATACGGACTTACAGGTTAGAGCTCTGACCGACCTTTCAAACAATTAACATAGTTACCGCTTCCCAGTATATTCATCTTCGATGTCTGTAGAGGTGGGGTAGGTAGCGTATGGAAGGGAAGGTCTTCAGAAAGCACCCCCCCCCTCGATGCATGGGCATAGCGCATGCCATCTTTCAATAAAATAAGTTAAACATTGGGTGGTGGAGAGGGGTCCCCTCTGTCCAAAGCTCATGTCAGTTTCTCTATGATATTGTATAAGCTTTGTATTTGAACGTGAATACATTCCTAACTCAGTTGTTTGAAAATCTGTTTATACAACACTTCATAAGTTTAAAGTAATATTTAGTGTTTATAGTGCTAAATTCGAGAGTGGATCACGGCGACGAGTAATGGCACTGATAGCCCATTGTGCAGCTTTATGTTTATACAACAAACAAGTGTCAAATAAATGTTTCTCTCTATTTTAGCAATATTTTATCAGAACTTGTATCATAGACTATTGTGTAGTGTTGTAGGCTTTGTGAAGACATGATTCATATTAAACTCACTTGAACCTTATAAACAAAATTAAAATTGATTTTTTTCTAACAAGATGTAAAACTTTTTCAACAATTGATTCTTGTACGTGTAGAATGTGTCGTTTTCTTTGTTTACTCGTCAGTTTTAGAAACACTTGTGTGCTTTAACCTGATGATAAATAACTTACTCTACTCACATGTTTGTTAATTTTCTTCTTCATGGAACGATAAAGACCATCAAGAGACGATTTGAACCACGTTGGCAACTTGAAAGTAATATTAAGAATTTGATTCCATATTCCAGCTTCAGGTGCATCACACGTTTCACCCATTTCCATTTGTTCGGTATTTAAAACAACGTAATTATTCTGTCATAGAAAATAAAATTTAAATCGTTGTTTGCTTGTATTTCTTAATATTCGTTGGCAATTTCTTTCAGTGATCAAGTACCTAGATACATGCCTTTGAAACGAAATATTGATTGGTGATTTACCTTTTGGTGTATATAGATTATCATTAATCTTTCAATAATGAAATAAAATTAGCCAGTAACTTCGTTTACTTATAACATAAATGTATAAACTTTTTTCGCTAGTCCTTTTTCCATTGCCCCCTTACTGCCTCAGCGGTTAGTCCGTGAACTTACAACTCTAAAATTTGGGTTTCGATGCCTATGATGAGCAAAGCACAGATAGTCTATTGTGTAGCTACGTGCTTAAAAACATCCAAACCTTTTCCTGTTTTCATGTAGAATACTGATGAACTTTGACTTCTTGAATATATTATATTAACTAGTGGTATATTGGGATAAATAACATTGTGGGATTTTTTGTTTGATTACACATTTATAAATACTATACAATGTGATGTTTTCGTGTATACATATTTTGAAAGTACTATTTATAACTGTCTCCTTTTTTTTTTCTCTTTCAGGCTTACATAGCTTTAGAACATGACAGTTGTGATCCTGCAAATAAGAGTTCAATAAGATTTATAGCAACTCCCACATTTTAACCTGTTAACTTTATCCTTGTCGAATCCATGTTCTCAGCCTTAACACCGCCGGGAAACTCCGGTGTGTTCTCAAGTACAGTAGACTCAAACCGACAAATGACTGAAACTCACAAATGGGACTTTGATCCAGGAACTGGTGCTCAAAGGGATGATACAGATGGTGACTCAGAAAAACGGGAATCGGATATGAACAAGAAAAATGTAGCAAAAATTGGAAGAAAGATGCATAAGCAGAAAAACAACAGTCTTGGCGATGATGCTAAAAATGAAAAACCTCAAAAATCTGCTACAAAAACAACAATCCAGAGAAAGCGTTACAGTAAGAGTAGAGCACGTACGCGGAGTCCCGAGCGTATCAAAACGCTTAAAAAAACGCGACGAGTGAAGGCAAATGATCGGGAGAGAAACCGCATGCACAACTTAAATAGTGCGTTGGACAGACTGCGGCGGGTGCTCCCGACTTTTCCCGATGACACGAAACTTACCAAGATAGAAACCCTCCGTTTCGCTCACAACTATATTTGGGTACTTTCAGAAACAGTAAAAATGTTAGACAACAGAGAATGTCATGACGGGTTCTCGGACACATCGAACTGGCCAGCTTCCACCTCGGACGTAGTGGACAATTCAGCTCCGAGCGTAGAAACGCAGAAAGCCTCATGTTCTTTTGGTTACGGCTTGCCTACCCCGCAAATGTCAACTTTGACCAGCTTTTATGGCCCTCCTGTTTCATTACCTGGTTGGATTCCCCCTTTAGCTAACTGTAGTGTTTCCTCCTTCATGTCGTCTAGTGCCATGGAGATGTTAGATTCCTGTAGCTCGAGCTCGGAAAGTTCATGTACTTATGAAAGTTTGTAATACTCGTTCAGATGAACTTCATTCAGTTAATACAAAACCATTCCAGTACTAATCATATATTGTGCAGTTAACCAATTTTATGGGAAAAAGTTATTTATTTTTGTGATACTTAAACCATTTCAAGAACCTTCATCCCTGTCTTTCACGTGACGTGTGTATCGTCTAATGTAAATTGTTGGATTAAATTCGATTACTTGTACATAACTTATTTGAACAATTCAGTTTGTGACTGTTCCATACTTACAACAGACTGGTGTTTTAAGGCCACGACTACTAAATTAATTCTATATTACAGGGTGTCCGAAATGTCTGGAACCATAGGCACGTCAACACATTTTACAGAAGGTGTTCCACATGCTGTCCTTGTAATTCGAAACAAATTTTGATTAACTAGGACTAACTCGATCTTTTCATGCTTTGACAGAGGCGTAATCCGTCACGTATCTGAAATCAAGAAAAGCTGCAAATCAACTATAGTTCCAGACTTTTCGGACACCGTGTATTGTACAACCTTGAGTATTAAAATTGCAGTATCGCTCAAACAAAATTGGTTTCACATTTATGATATATAATTTTCTCGAATGGAGCAATGCCTCCCAATGATTGTTGAATAAAGTCGAGTCAAAACGACTCAGTTTTGAAAGGATTTTGTTAATGGGGTATTCATATATTTAAGTAGCAAAATGTAAGATATTTTCTGTTCTCTATAAAAAAAAAACTATTAATATATAACGTAAGAGTCTGTTTCTGTAATTTTCGTGCCTAAACATTCTCTGATGATTACGAAGAATGTTATAAAAAAAAAGATGAAAGAACGTCCTTTTTCAGGTTGCTAAGGTGGTCTTTGTTAAATATCAGCTTTTATTGTGCATCTTCTATAAACACTTTCGGATCATTATAATCAGTGTTATACGAAATATGAAGAGCAGACTTGCTAAGGTTGTTGAGGTAGTCTGGTAGATGTTGATTTTCACTGTGCATCTTGAATCCGGTAAAAAAAAAAGAGCTTCCGTTCAAAGTGTTTACTCGGATTTTATTTTTCAGGGAAAATGTAAACAAGATAAAGAGGCTATTTTATCTAAGAGAAGGAAGAGGGAGGAGTGAGGGAGGAAGCAACAGACACTCAGTACTTGATTTGGACTTCCAATGTTAACCAACAATAGGTTTGGGTGCTTAGTGTTGTGGCAACGTTTGTAAAAATGGTGGGAAAAGCATCCCGTTCATGTTCCCTGACAATAATGGCTTCCTGCTATAAGGTTAGTCCTAAAGCTAGGTTCGAGAGAAGTTAAAGCTACTGTAGACATTCAGAACATGAAAGCGTTTTTGTCATCTGCCTTTTCCTCGCGCCTTTCTTCAAAGCCTGAAGATGATTTGGTAATAGGTAAAGTTAATAAAGCTAAAAGTGAAAAGGATCACACCTATTGATAATGATTTATTTATTTTTCCTGAAATATAAAAAAGCTTTGGGTGTATACTTATGTAAAAATATAATAGTTTTGTACATATGCAGTATTTCTCTTACTTCACAGAATCTGTATAAATAAAAATAGTATATATTTCAATATGTGAACTGAATTTCGTTTTCCTCAACAGTAAACTACAGAAACAAAAAATACGTTGACTCTTTGAATATATAAGATGAAAAAATAAACAAATTTATGTTTTAATAAGAATTAAGATTTAAAGTTACAACAATGCCTTTTATACCTATACGCAATAATGTGTATTATCTATAATTGTCAAACGAACATATTACATTTGTATTTTCAGAGAAATGCAGGTGGCGCTATTCTACGATCTATCACAATTCGAAACGTTTGCTGGTATTTGACGCTTTGTATTCATGGCAAAGCTACTACGATTATCTTCCGCCGTTTCTAATACTGTAGCTTGTATTAATGGCAAATTTACTAAGGTTATCTGCCGTCGTCCCTGATTTTGAAATACTAACAGCCAGTCAGCAGCACCCTACCACCCACTATCCACATTAAGGGATTGGCTGTTACTCTTATAATGTACCCACAGCAAAAATACTGGAAATATTTTGTGGTATAGCACGAATTAGAACCCGACTTGCCATGTCCAAAAATCCAGAGCTCTGCCACAAGGTCAATCCGTTGTTATAAACATTGAGAATATGTAATATAAACACCAGGTTAATAACGCAAAACCTTCCAGACATAATTACGATGCATGTGAAAAGCGAATAATAGCGTTTGTTACCTCCTTTGTTTGGTGCTAACTTATTAATTTTTGTGACTATCACTAAAATGCAAAATACTAATTTTTTCTTTAAAGTTTACAATAAAGAATACCAGCACATACTATTTTCTGGTTTCACCGAATTTCTACCAGGAAGAGAGTCTACACACTGAAACTTTTCGTTATTGTTTTAGCAGTATCTAAAACATTTGTTAACGCAAGTTCTCATTTCACAAATATTTATTACTATTAATAATCATATGAATAATTATATTATAATGTGACACATTTGCGGGAAGGGAGAGGTCTATACCAAAACTCATAAGGTTTGTTTGTTTGTTTTGAATTTTGCGCAAAGCTACACGAAGGCTATAAGCTCTAGCCGTCCCTAATTTAGCAGTAAAATACTAGAGGGACGGCTGCTAGTCATCACCAACCACCACCAACTCTTGGGCTACTCTTTTACCAACGAATAGTGGGATTGACCGTCACGTTATAACGCCTCCACGGGTATCGATACCCGGTTTCTAGCTTTGTAAGTCCGCAGACATACTGCTGTACCGCTGGGGGGCCCTTTTCTCTGATCCAATTAAAGATAGAAATATTGCACTAAAACTTTCTATTTACAAATAAAAATCTCAAGCTGAATTAGATGTAATTTTTTTAAGATCTTTAAATTCTAATTTGCTTAAGCTCTCTCTCAATCAATATATATATATATATATATATATATATATATTAAAGTTGAAAATAGCCGTGATCAAAATCGTTTCAGGTAACACAAAATTAATCAAAAAATATAAAATCGGATTGCCTTTGCAGTCCTTACAATATTTGCACTTTTAATTGTATTTTCTGTAAGTGTAGTTTGTTTAGGTTTTTAAGTCAAGAAAGTACAATACCAAATACACGGTATATACAATGTAATTAGGGCAATAGTAATTGAAAGAGCATGTTAGAGGTACGCAAGCATTGGTAGGAGGATAGACAGAATAAACGGAAGTACGGTTAACTTAGTTCTGGTCAGCTGGAAAAATCTAGCGTTTACACGCTCAATAGCCGGTAATCCTTTCTATTATGTGGTACAATAATCCGATGGAAGCAAAGTTAGTGATGAAAATGACAGAGTCGTGCATTCCTTTTTTCTAGTGACCGCTTTAGAACGTTTTCAGTAACTGTTTAGTCCTCTTTTTGAGTGATCATAGTTTTAAGTCTAAGAACTTATGAGTGAATGTAAAGAACGTCAACTACAGTACTGACAAGCTCTTTCGCCGAATAATAAGATCACCTTATATATCTATATATATATACAGAGACATCTCAAAAGTAAATACACACCATGATGTTTATTCAAAAGTCATTTAATTAAGAAAGGCATCCAACGGCTCCCATGGCCAAGCCAGTCACCTGATATGAGCCCCATCGAGCATGTCTGGGCCATATCTGCTCGAGTGAGAGAAGTTCCAGAAAACCAGCGTCCCGTGGAGAGCTACTTGATGTTTTCCTTGCAGCCTGGGTCAAGATCCTACAGAAGAAAATTCCAGAACTCATCGATTCTATGACAGAACGACTCAAAGTAATGAAAAATGCTAGTGGCAAATCGACTAAGTACTGATGCACATTTGTAAACATTTTTGTCAAATTGATAATGTCTATATACTTTTGAGGTGTCTCTGTATATATATATATATACGGATTTCGGAACTGGAAGGCCGGTTCTAAGTCCGTGGGATACCACAAAATATTCCCCGGACTCTCAACTGTTAGTATTTTATAAGAGTGACAGTCAAGTCAATCTCTTTACGTGGATGGAGGGTTCTGCTGACTCCCTCTGTTCAATAGCTTAAAATTAAGGACGACGACCAATAGCTTTAGTAACCTTGCAATACATACAAATAGAAACACCTTTCACAAGCCCATTCTAACAAACCGGTATGACTTATCTTAATATCCAACGAAGCTGATAGCCTGTGACAATCTCAAACTGACAGCAAAATCCTCAAAAATCCATCACATCTGAGAGCTTTAAAATCAGTATCAAAGTATTGTGTTTGAAAAATTTCCCCTAACTCTCTTTCAAATACATTGAATGCAGACTTAAGGGCATACGAAACGAAAGTCAATGGCCTGGACATTATAGCTTTATGATAAATAATAGTCTTTAACTGTTGTCATTTATAAGCAGAAAACATGCTAATATCAAAGGTATTTTCGGTTTTTAAAAAATCTCATTAGATTGAAGTTTTTTTGTTGTTGTTTTACAGTCTTCTTAACTTGTCCATTACGAGCTTCAAATCATTGGTGTCTGATAATAGCATTGTCCAGAAGGCCTTTCGCACAATACCAGAATTCGTCAGCCTAACTCCTTGACAGTGATTTGTGGGTAACAAAAGACAGACCTGAATGCTATTGTTATACACATTTCAATTTGAAATCCGTAATAATGAACAAATTAAGAGGAATGTATTAAAAGTATTTCAGCTTAATAAACATTAAGCTCATTGATTTCCAATGGCTCATCAGCTTTCGGCGTTTTAACTGAAACATCGAAGTTCTTATAATGTATATGTAAATAGCGTTTCAATAAACTTTGACTTCTCATCGCTCATCCTAGCTTACGTTTGTTTGTTTTAGTGCAACAGGCCATCTCTCTGTTTATAAACGCTTAACACGTTCAAGTGCCCCTCTAGAGTTATGTTGCCCTGGCCTTTCACCTTCATAATTTACGTCTTTTTATTCTTGATCTTCAGTCAAAACTTTACATAGTCTTCACTCATTACTTCAGCCATTTCCTCTAA